CTTTATAAGGTCAAAGGTAATTGACATTGGCTATCATTTGATATTTTGACCTCCGACATGTATTTTCGGTTTTATAGCTGTCCGAAAAAAGTCAAATTCGGAACTTTGGACTGTTCTAGCACGTGACCTAATTAACCTAGAGGGTTAATTTTTTCGGTTTCCTAATGGGCTTCTCATGCACTTTACATAGATATATAACAATCGTTTTTTTTAAAGCAAATTTGAAATTCGTGATTTTTTCAATTTTTTCTTTACAATATTTGTGTCTCTTTGAGCTTGGTGTATGTATATCTTAAGACCTATTTGATGTAGAACCTTGAAATTTGAAATACAACTAGACACTTTGAATATGAATTCACCTATGACAAAAAAATGATGTGAACGTGGCACATCCGGGTTGAATTACGAATTGTTAACATTTAGGGACAGGGGCATAACTCGCATAGGATACGTTTGTATAAAAAGGGACTTTGCACACAATTACCACATCCTTTTGGCCAGTTTGAGTTAACAGCTCAGTTGTTTTAGCTTTAACGGAACGGGTTTTAGAATTTCCATATTTTCAATTTTCGATTTTGACCTTTGATGATTTTTATTGACCTATATCTTTTGACCTGTATGATGTAGAAGCTTTAAATTTGGAAGACAACATAACATTTTGAATATCAATTTACTTATGTCAAAAAAAAGAGGTAATTTACTCATTATTGACATTTTTGGCCAGAGGCATAACTCGCATAGGATACATTTGTTCAAAATGGAACTTTGCATACAATTACCTCATGTTTTGAGCCACTTTGTCTTAGATGTTCGGTTGATTCAGCTTCATAGTTAAAAAAAAGGAACAGGTTTTGGAAATTCACTATTTCCAATTTTTGACCTTGACTTTTGTTGACCTTGACTTTTGTAGGATCAAACGTCATTGGCACTGGCTATCTATTTATACTTTTATATTTGCTGTCTTAAGTCAATTTCCGGCTTTATAGACGTATGCGTTTGAAATTTTGATGACTTATATATCGTGATCTTGACCTTTTTAGACCTGCTCCTTTACGAGATCAAAGGTCATTGACCTTGGCTATCTACTGATACTTGCATTTGTGAGGTCTGGCGTCTACTTCCGGTATTAGAATCTTCTAAAAAATGAAAATTTCCCAACTTTAGACTGTTCTTGCACTTGACCTAGTTATCGTCGAAGGTTGAATTTTTCAGGGTCTTTAGCAAATTGCTACTTTTGCAAAGTCCCACGTTTGGCTCTAGTATATATATTTAATTTCACTTTTAAAAAGTTTCTTATTGCCTTCATAATATGTTTCCTAATTTCCTAGAGATAAAAATCTCCATAATATAATAATTTCCGTGCCTGCAAGAAAGAAACGTTTATTTGCAATTTCTCTAGAACAAAATCCGGTATGCACCAATTTCAGTACGTAATTCAATTGTGAACAGAGATTTGCTTAGTAATTAGTTTTTATTCACCATTTCAGAGGTTGCACCAAACAACTTTTTGATTGTGACTGATTCTCAAGAGAAAGCTATAATTAGATTGGATTTATCCAGTAGAGGTTACCTGACTCTACCTATAACCAACCATAACAATCCAATTGCTATAGATTTTGACTCGAAAGACTCAAGAATATACTGGACTGATGTATTGTCAAAACAAATACGCAGGGCTTCTCTGGCTGGTGATTCAGAGACACTGATAAGACAGTTGAATAACGGTATATTTTGTATACACTTATGTGTATTTTTGTGGGGAAATAAAATAAAGTGAATGGAGTTTTACGTCCTACGTTTCTGCACCACGTGGGCTAATAAAGACGGGCAACGCCATACAGGGTGCAATGAGGGAAATTTTGTATGGGCATTAGCCTGCTCTTTTTCGATTTCCAACTGTCGAGGGATCTTTAACGTGCATAGCCTGTAGCACACGGGACGACTAGACGATTTTTCCATGTCAGCCCCTCTTACGTGCATCACTGACAGGGGGAAACCGTGTTGAAAAACTCTGGACCTTCAAGTAAGCAAGAAAGCGTCACCTATTTTTGTGGGGAAACAATGATTAAAATAATGTACGGAATACATAATAATAGTTAATATAGTATCCAGTCGGGAATATAATAACAGTTAATATATTATCCAGGTCGGGAATACAATAATAGTTAATATAGTATCCAGGTCGGGAATACAACAATAGTTAATATAGTATCCAGGTCGGGAATATAATAATAGTTAATATAGTATACAGGTCGGGAATATAATAATAGTTAATATAGTATCCAGGTCGGGAATACTATAGTTAATATAGTATCCAGGTCGGGAATACAATAATAGTTAATATAGTATCCAGGTCGGGAATAATTATAGTTAATATTGTATCCAGGTCGGGAATATTATAGTTAATATAGTATCCAGGTCGGGAATACAATAATAGTTAATACAGTATGGAGGTCGGGAATACAATAATAGTTAATATAGTATCCAGGTCGGGAATACAATAGAAGTTAATATAGTATCCAGGTCGGGAATATTATAGTTAATATAGTATCCAGGTCGGGAATACAATAATAGTGAATATAGTATCCAGGTCGGGAATATTATAGTTAATATGGTATCCAGGTCGGAAATATTATAGTTAATATAGTATCCAGGTCGGGAATACAATAATAGTTAAAACAGTATGCAGGTCGGGAATACAATAATAGTGAATATAGTATCCAGGTCGGGAATACAATAATAGTGAATATAGTAACCAGGTCGGGAATACAATAATAGTAAATACAGTATCCAGGTCGGGAATACAATAATAGTTAATATAGTATCCAGGTCGGGAATACAATAGAAGTTAATATAGTATCCAGGTCGGGAATACAATAATAGTAAATATAGTATCCAGGTCGGGAATACAATAATGGTTAATATAGTATCCAGGTCGGGAATACAATAGAAGTTAATATAGTATCCAGGTCGGGAATATTATAGTTAATATAGTATCCAGGTCGGGAATACAATAATAGTGAATATAGTATCCAGGTCGGGAATATTATAGTTAATATGGTATCCAGGTCGGGAATATTATAGTTCATATAGTATCCAGGTCGGGAATACAATAATAGTTAAAACAGTATGCAGGTCGGGAATACAATAATAGTGAATATAGTATCCAGGTCGGGAATACAATAATAGTGAATATAGTAACCAGGTCGGGAATACAATAATAGTAAATACAGTATCCAGGTCGGGAATACAATAATAGTTAATATAGTATCCAGGTCGGGAATACAATAGAAGTTAATATAGTATCCAGGTCGGGAATACAATAATAGTAAATATAGTATCCAGGTCGGGAATACAATAATAGTTAATATAGTATCCAGGTCGGGAATACAATAGAAGTTAATATAGTATCCAGGTCGGGAATATTATAGTTAATATAGTATCCAGGTCGGGAATACAATAATAGTGAATATAGTATCCAGGTCGGGGATATTATAATAAATATGA